ACAATGTTTTCTCACAACAAATGAAACACAAATAACGAGTAGTTTTATATCAAAAACTTTAACTAAAATTTAACTTTAATTCAAACAATTATTTAATTAATTCTTATTAAATCACAAAAACAATTGTCATTTAAGTTTATTTTATTGATTTAATTATGAAATTTTAATTAATTCACAAATATATCTATAATTAAGTTTAAGCCGATTAGAAATAATTATTGCAAAAAAGTAATTTAACTTAAATTATTGCTAATTAAATCATACAATTATTTCCATTATTGAATCAAATGAGATCCACATTAAAGACAACGTTTGATAGATTTATATTAAATTTATACAATTAATGAGTTTTTATATTTATTCACATTTATTAGTAGACAATTAAAAGCTGTGTTTGTGAACGACTTTCATGTGTTGTCTGAAACCGGGTTTACCGCCGAAACTCTTATCACATCCACTGTATTGACAACTATAGGGTCGGATCCCCTGGTGTTCGTTCACATGTGCTCTAAAAAGCTGTGTTTGTGAACGACTTTCATGTGTTGTCTGAAACCGGGTTTACCGCCGAAACTCTTATCACATCCACTGTATTGACAACTATAGGGTCGGATCCCCTGGTGTTCGTTCACATGTGCTCTAAACGCCTGATTATTGGCAAACCGTTGTCCACACTCTGGCCAATCACAGCCGTACGGCTTTTCATTCCTATGGCTCCGTCTATGACTCGAAAGACAACGTCTGGTCACAAAACTCTTATCACATCCGGTCTCCGGACACTTGAACTGCCGAATAGCCTCGTGAGTGAGTCTATGACTATTTAAACAATCGGAAGTCTTGAATGTGGCCTCACATGCGGGCCAATCGCAAGTGAAGGGTCGCTCATCGCTGTGGACCACTGCGTGACGCTTGAGCTCACGAACGGTGTAGAAACTGCGGCCACATTCGGGTACTTCGCACGAGAACTCCCGTATGTTTTGATGCCTTTTTTGGTGTTCAGTAAATATTGTCTTATTGTCTGTCTCGTAGTTACAGCCCGTTTGTCCGCATTTGTGTAACTTTCTGTATTGTACTTTCATGTTATAGATCGCAAACTCGTGGTCGCTGTGCAGCAGTTTATGCTTTCGAAGACTGTCTTTGGCCACAAAACTCTTACCACATCCGGTCGCCGGACACTCGAACTGCCGAATACCCTTATGAATGAGTAGGTGTGCGTCCAGTAGGGATGCAATTTTGAATGTGGCCGCACACGCGGGCCAATCACAGACGAACGGCCGCTCAACGCTGTGGACCAATGAATGGCGCTTAAGTTCATAGATAGTGACGAAAGTGTGGCCACAGTCGGCCACTTCGCACCGCAACTCTCGAACGTTGAGATGTCTGCTCCTGTGGTGAATCATCAATGTGTTGTTGTCCGTCACGAAAGTACAGTCCGGGAAATGGCATTTGTGTTTCATTTGATTGTGCGATCGCCTATGGATTGAGCGCTCCCTTTGACCGGCAAACTCTTCACCGCACACTTCGCACTGACAGACGGTGTGGATAGAGAGCTGGTGTCCGCTTAACTCACGTTTTGTAGTAAACACTTGTCCGCAACCGTCGACCGGACAGACATATGACTCATTGTCTCTTCTTTTATGACTCCTTTTTAGATGTATTCTCAGATGTGATTTCGACGGCCCCTCGTATTGACACCCATTTTGGTCGCATCGGAAGCCTTTCTGGCCGTGATTTTCATAACAATGTTTGTCAAGAGTTGTTTCATAACTGAACTCAATGTCACATACTTTGCAAATAAAAACTTTTTTGTCGTTTTTGATGACAATCTGTTTGAAGGCCGATTCAGTGGCGCCTTTGGCCCGTAAGGACCCGTTTCTCACATTCGGATCACAAGTATTATCGCAATGAAAGTGCATTTGTTCCCAGTGTTGATGCAGTTGTGACTCAATCTCGTACTCATTGCCACATGTATTGCATACAAACACTCGTTGACCGTCTCTGCGAACGACAACTTTGAATGGTATTTCAGCCGATAGTGTCTTCACACGAGTGGAATCCTCGCTGACAGAGCTGTTCACACAATTGTCAACCAAACACTTGCTATCGTTTGCCTTAACACTTAACGCTTGTCTCAATAGTGTGTTATTGACGTGAGTGTCACTCGAGTAGTCATCGATCATTTCAAACGTGTCTTCAACGGTGTCAGAGTAGTCGTCCCACTCATGGCTATCATTGTTTAGTTCATCCATTATATCGTTTGTCTCACATTTGGTAATTATTTGTGTCTTTAGTCCTGAGGACCCATCGCTGGTATTGTTCTTCACCTCAAAGTCTGACAAACACTTCCCCTTATTATTGATTACAATGTGGTTGTCGTTCATACCATACATACCATCGCATGTCTTCTCTTCGGTACTCTCGAATTGAGTGTCACTCGAGTTGTCATCCATTGTCTCAAACGTCTCAGACATAGAGTCCGAGTGTTGGCTAACATTGTTGTCATCGATTGTGTCTTTGGGCTCACATTTGATAACCATATGATGTGTTGGTGTGCTTTTGGTGACCACCGCCGGTGTCTTAGGCTTAGACTCGATGACAATGTGCTGGTATTTAGCCTCAAGTGTGTCAACCAATACTTTATTCCCGATTTGATTACAAACACAGCGTTTATACAAATCTAATAAACATTTTCTATAATTATTGAAAAATTCAATGCATTTTAAACTATAATTCAATTCATTTAATAGTCTTTTGTTTTCATGGATTAACTCTTCACTCGTTTTAGACATGATTTTAATCACAATTTAAACACCAATTCATAACTAAAACTCCTGTTGTTTTCAATCAGCTGTTGTAATAAATTAAACATAAATAACGGCTTTTCATATCAAACTTAAAGAAACTTTTAATTATTTTTATACATTGAATTGTAACATTAATGTTTGATTTGATTTAATGTCAAATTTGATGGCAATTATAATTTATAAATTAAAATTTACAATAGATTTAATACATAACCATTTAATTAGTGGTTTATTGTCTGACAATTTTCTGATATCAAACACACGTATATATTATGTCAACAACACATTGGAAGCGATAATAAATTACAAAAGTATTAGACGTTTAATTGAATTTAATTTTCAAAATTATAACTAAATTATAACTTATAAATAAGTTAAATATTTAATATATGTGTTAATAAATGATTGTAACGCTAGTGAGTAAACTAGTAAACATAGACACTGAAGATTTCGAGTCAAATGCATTGAATAACTGTTCATTGGATCAATGAATTCAATGGTTAGCCACTAACGTTACGGTCATTTACCGCCGCATATATAATACAGTATTGTTTGTATTTGTTATTCTGTATCCTAATAACGCGTTTCAATACAACAGTTTGTAAACTTTAACTAAACATTGTGTTTGTGAACGACTTTCATGTGTTTTCTGAGACCGGGTTTAGTGGTGAAACTCTTATCACATCCACTGTATTGACAACTATAGGGACGGATCCCCTGGTGTTGGTTCACATGTGTCTTAAGCGCCCGATTGCTGGTATACCGTTGGCCACACGCCGGCCAAACACATGCGTACGGCTTGTCATTCCCATGAGACTGTTTATGCTTCCAAAGATCATTTGTGGTCACAAAACTCTTATCACATGCAATGTGCGGACACTTGAACTGCTGAATACCCTCATGAATGAGGCGGTGATCTCTCAAAACGCGATAAGTCTTGAATGTGGCCTCACATGCGGGCCAATCGCAAGTGAAGGGCCGCTCATCGCTGTGGACCACTGCGTGACGCATGAGATCCCTATTGGTGTAAAAACTGCGGCCACAGTCGAGTACTTCGCACCGAAACTCACGTATGTTTTGATGCCTTTTTTGGTGTTCAGACAAATTTGTCTTAATGTATGTCTCGTATTGACAGCCCGTTTGATGGCATTTGTGTTTCTCTTTGTGTTTCTCGTTGTGATACGACTGCATGTGTTGTCTCCGCGCCCGACGGCTCACAAACTCTTCGCCGCATTCACTGCACAGACAGATAGTGTGATTGTAGATCCGGTGAGCGGCCAACTCATTGCTCGACGCGAATACCTGTGCGCATCCGTCCACCGGACACATCATCTCAAACACAATTTCTGGTTTATCACTGAGTTTATGAGTACTCTTCAGATGTCCCCTTAAATGCCGTTTCGATGGCGCCTCATATGAACAGCCCTTTTGGTCGCATCGGAAGCCCTTCTGGTTATGGACTTTATGGCAGTGATTGTCAAGAGTTGCTTCATATTTAAATTCAATGTCACATATCTTGCATACGAAAAACTGTTTGCCGTCTTTAACCACAACCTTCTTGAGCTCGGCGTTGGTCTTCGCCCGTATCAACGCATCCGTCGAATTATTGTCTTCTGTTTCCGACGGGAAGTGCATTTGATTCCAGTGTTGGTGTAGTTGTGTCTCAAACTCGTATTCATTGCCACATGTATTGCATCCAAACCACTGCCGGCCGTCTTCGCCGACACCGTTTTTGAAGGGTATTTTGGCCGACAATGTCTTCACAACTGCCGACCCATCGCTGGCACAGCTCTTCGCCTCAGAATTTGACAAACACTTTGAAATGTCATCGGATTGGCTGTCGTTGTCTTCCATACCATCGCATGTCTTCTCTTCTGTGCTCTCGAGTTGAGTGTCACTCGAGTTGTCATCCATTGCTTCAAAAGATTCAGACATAGAGTCCGAGTGTTGGCTCTCATTGTTGTCATCGATTGTGTCTTTCGGTTCAGATTTGATGACCACTAGTGTTGGTGTGGTTTCGGTGACCACTAATGTCTTGGGCTTAGACTCAATGATAATGAGCTGGTGTTGTCTCTCAAGTGTGTCAACCAATACCTGATTCCCAACGCGATTACAAACACAGCGTTTATACAAATCTAATAAACATTTTCTATAATTATTGAGAAATTCAATGCATTTTAAACTATAATTCAATTCATTTAATAGTCTTTTATTTTCATGGATCAACTCTTCACTCGTTTTAGACATGATTTTAAATTAAAATTTTTAATCACAATTTAAACACCAATTCATAACTAATAAAACTCTTGTTGTTTTCAATCAGCTGTTGAGGTCATGAATCAAACATAAATAACGGCTTTTCATATCAAACTTTTAAGAGAAAAGAAACTTTTAATTATTATCACATTTTTATAACATTTGATGGCAAATATAATTTATAAATTAAAATTAACAATAGATTTAATACATAACCATTTAATTAGTGATCTATTGTCTGACAATTTTCTTATATCATACACACGTATATATTATGCTAACAACACATTGAAAGCAATAATAAACCTCAAAAGTATTAGACGTTTAATTGAATTTAATTTTCCAATTTATAACTAAATTATAAATAAGTTAAATATTTAATATATGTGTTGATAAATGACAGTAACGTTAGTGAGTAAAGCAGTAAATATAGACTCAAGTTTGTGAGTTAAATGCATTAAATAACTGTTCATTTAATATTAAGTGGATCAATGAATTGTACGGTTAGTCACTAACGTTACGGTCATTTACTGCCTCTTATATAATACAGTATTGTTTGTATTTGTTATTTTCGTATCCAAATAACGGGTTTCAATGCAACAGTTTGTAAACTTTAACTAAACGTTGTGTTTGTGAACGACTTTCATGTGTTGTCTGAGACCGGGTTTACCGCCGAAACTCTTATCACATCCACTGTATTGACAACTATAGGGTCGGAGCCCCTGGTGTTCGTTCACATGTGTCTTAAGCGCCTGATTGCTAGCAAACCGTTGTCCACACGCCGGCCAAACACATGCGTACGGCTTTTCATTCATGTGATACTTTTTATGCTTCCAAAGTTCTTTTGCGGTCTTAAAACTCTTATCACATGCAATGTGCGGACACTGGAACTGCCGAATACCCTCATGAGTGAGGCGGTGATCTCTCAAAACGGGATAAGTCTTGAATGAGGCCTCACATGCGGGCCAATCGCAAGTGAAGGGCCGCTCTTCGCTGTGGACCACTGCGTGACGCTTGAGATCCCTATTGGTGTAGAATCTGCGGCCACAGTCCAGTACTTCGCACCGAAACTCACGTATGTTTTGATGCCTTTTTTGGTGTGCAGTAAACATTGTCTTATTGTGTGTCTCGTATTGACAGCCCGTTTGATCGCATTTGTGTTTCTCTTTGTGATACGACTGCATGTGTTGTGTCCGCGCCCGACGGCCCACAAACTCTTCGCCGCATTCACCGCACAGACAGATAGTGTGATTGTAGACCCGATGAGCAGTCAACTCATGGCTCGACGGGAAGACCTGTGCGCACCCGTCCACCGGACACATCATCTCAAACACCATATCTGGTTCATCAGAGGGTTTATGAACACTCTTCAGATGTTTCCTCAAATACCGTTTCGATGGCGCCTCATATGAACAGCCCTTTTGGTCACATCGAAATCCCTTCTGGTTATGGACTTTATGGCAGTGAGTGTCAAGAGTTGATTCACATTTGAATTCAATGTTACATATCTTGCATACGAAGAACTGTTTGCCGTCTTTAACCACAACCTTCTTGAGCTCGGCGTTGGTCTTCGCCCGTATCAACGCATTGTCCTCTTCTTCAGACCGGAAATGCATTTGATTCCAGTGTTGGTGTAGTTGTGTCTCCAACTCGTATTCATTGCCACATGTATTGCATCCAAACCACTGCCGGCCGTCTTTCACAACGTATTTAAAGGGTATTTTGGCCGACAATGTCTTCACAACTGCCGACCCATCGCTGGCACAGCTCTTCGCCTCAGAGTTCAACCAACACTTCAAGTTGTCATCGGATTGGCTGTCGTTGTCTTCCATACCATCGCATGTCTTCTCTTCTGCGCTCTCGAGTTGAGTGTCACTCGAGTTGTCATCCATTGTCTCAAAAGTCTCAGACATAGAGTCCGAGTGTTGGCTCTCATTGTTGTCATCGATTGTGTCTTTCGGTTCAGCTTTGATGACCACTGAAGTGATTGTCTTCGACTCTGCGGTAATCTTCTCGTATTGTTTCTCAAGTGTTTTAATCAACAGATTATTCCCGATTTGATTACAAACACAGCGTTTATTAAAATCTAATAAACATTTTCTATAATTATTGAGAAATTCAATGCATTTTAAACTATAATTCAATTCATTTAATAGTCTTTTGTTTTCATGGATTAACTCTTCACTCGTTTTAGACATGATTTTAATCACAATTTAAACACCAATTCATAACTCAATCACACGTTTTGATTGTAAACAATGTTTTCTCACAACAAATGAAACACAAATAACGAGTAGTTTTATATCAAAAACTTTAATTAAAATTTAACTTTAATTCAAACAATTATTTAATTCATTCTTATTAAATCACAAAAACAATTGTAATTTTAAGTTTATTTTATTGATTTAATTATGAAATTATAATTAATTCACAAATATTAAGTTTATGCCGATTAGAAATAATTATTGCAAAAACTTAAATTATTGTTAATTAAATCATACAATTATTTCCACTATTGAATCAAATCAGATCCACATTAAAGACAATGTTTGATAGATTTATATAACATTTATACAATTAATGAGTTTTATATTTATTCACATTTATTAGTAGACAACTAAACGCTGTGTTTGTGAACGACTTTCATGTGTTGTCTGAGACCGGGTTTACCGCCGAAACTCTTATCACATCCACTGTATTGACAACTATAGGGTCGGATCCCCTGGTGTTGGTTCACATGTGTCTTAAACGCCTGATTACTGGCAAACCGTTGTCCACACTCTGGCCACTCACACGCGTACGGCTTGTCATTCGTGTGATGCCTTTTATGCTTCCAAAGATCTTTTGTGGTCTTAAAACTCTTATCACATGCGATGTGCGGACACTTGAACTGTCGAATCCCCTCATGAGTGAGTCTGTGATCTCTCAAAACGGCATAAGTCTTGAACGCGGCCTCACATGCGGGCCAATCGCAAGTGAAGGGCCGCTCATCGCTGTGGACCACTGCGTGACGCTTGAGATGACGTTTGGTACTAAACTCACGGCAACATTCCGGGACTTCGCACCGAAACGGCCGCACATTTGTATGTCTAGTTTGGTGTGTGTAAAAGTTTCCGGAGTTATTGGTCACATATACACAGCCCGAGTGCGAACACTTGTACTTTGCGTCTTTGCGGACAATCTGTTTGAAAGACACTTCAGTCGAGTGTGTGTTCGGTATGTGTGTCGAGTCATTGCATGTATTGGCGTTTTTCTCGGGCCAGAAGTGCATTTGATTCCAGTGTTGGTGTAGTTGTGACTCCAAC